GTCCCCAGGGCAGAGGGGCTCCAGCCCTCGGAGCATCTCCGGGGCCTCCTCTGGACTCGCTCCAACAGCTCCGTGTCCTTCTGCTGTTGGGGCCCAGAGCTGGAGCAGAACTGCAGGGGGGTCTCCCCAGAGCGGAGCAGAGGGGCAGAATCCCCTCCCTCGCCCCCCTGGCCACGCTGCTCTGGATCCAGCCCAGGATGGGGTTGGCTTTTTTCAGTCTGCAGTCGGTTCCACTCACAGTTTGCCCTTGCCATCTGACTTGGCCAACGCACCCCCTGCTGCCGACGGATGGAGCAGCAGCAGGAGACGGATGCCACAGTTTTTCCCAATTGTCCTTTTAAATGAAAAAATTCTCTCTCTTTCTTATCTTAGCCTTTACCTTCCAGCCCTCTGATCACGGTTAACGTGGTCGGAGCAGTCTCTTGTCTGCACTTCCTTTTGAGTTACGGCTCTGGCAGCTACACTCGGGGCTTTTCAAGAAACGTGCCCGAGGATGGAACGGGAAGTTACAGGGAGGATGCAGAAAGCTCATGAGGAATGTAAAAGCCTCCGTAGGTGGTTCGTACAGAGCGTCTCAGAGAACAGCAGCTACAGGGCCACCACGCCGTGGTGCCGTGGGGGTGGGGGGGAGCACCGGCGCGGGGCACAAGCGGAGTGCGCTGCTGACGGGGGAGGATAACGTGGATCTATACTTGGACATTCTCCGGGTGCGGAGCTGAGACACTATTGCCAGAGGCCGCCAGACCGATGAATACGAGCTGCAAACAAGAACCAAGTCAGACCAAAAAATGCAGATCTTGATGGTCAAAGAGGCAAAAGGCATGGCTTGCATGGAAGGGAAGTTGTGAATTCCTCCCTGTGGCACCAGGAACAATTAAACCACCGGATTCAAACCTTACAGCTGATTCGTTTGAATGACAGGCACCGCAGGGTCATGAAGAACCTCCCTCTGCCAGAGGACAGAAAATGCCAAGCCTGTCCTGGTGTCGCTCTCCAGTGACCGGGAAAGCAGCCACGGGCAGAGCAAAGAGCCAGGGAGCCACGTGTGCTCTGCGTGGTCCCTGCGGAACCGGAACATACCTTGACCGTGATCCCTAGGAGCGTGGCGCTGCCTGAAGTCAAATGGATGGGGTTTTTAATTTTTAAAAGACAGCATATTTGTCATCTGTCTACACGTGGCATCCACCTCGGTCTGGCTTGCTGCGGCTTTTAAGCCCAAGCTGGCTCACGGCGGGGCAGGACGCCCCGTCTGTGTGAACCGCGCGCAGATTAACATAGGCGCTCCAAATTTTCCACCGTTCCTTCACGGCTGGCATTTATCCACTGGACTCTCCTCAGACCCTGCCTGTTAACCCGTGCTTCCCAGGTGTGTCTGGGTGGCGGGGGGTGTCCCTGGGAGCCCCCAGCCCAAGCTCGCAGCAGGGCTCTGCGCAGCACTGGGTCGGGGCAGCTGCTGGGTCTGCCCCAAAGACTCTTCCCTCCTGGGAAAGGGGATTCTTCCTAACGCACACAAAGGACAATCTGCAAACTTTTCCTTATTCCCCCTGGGTTTATCGCCCGCTGCGATGGAGCCTTGTGCTGTCCCAGTTGTACCCGGCCTGGCTACGCGGTTGGGACCGCCGAGTACAAAATACACTTGTTTAGCCAAAGGGGATGGGCCAAGTCCCGCTGCTGTCAAAGTGCAACTCCACTACTTTTCCTCTCCTGGTTACAGTGGGAGGGAATGAAGCTGGAGGAAGACAAGCAGTTGGCAGGAACCAAGGTCTGGCAGCCCATAACCCGCGTGCTGCGTTGTGTGCCGCACCGAAGCAGGCTGGCAGCGCACACTCCCTCCCAGCAAGACTTCCTGCCAAAACGGCTGCCTCTCCTGGGATTTGGAGCTGCCCGGTGCCTCCAGGCCAGGAGCACAACCCATCGCCTGGGCAACAGCACTGAAGGCTGCTTCCCTCCTCAGGGCACAAGCCATCACCGAGCCCTTCAGAAGGTGGTTTGGAACTCAAGCTCATCCCCTGGAGCCTTCAAGCCAGCAGTTCTGCCCTGCTCCCACCGGGAATTGCCCGCGGGACCTTCTGCAGGCTCACAGCCCGCCTGACTCACCGAGGTCGTTGTTGCTCATCATGGCGTTGGATGCGCGGAGCCGGGGACCTTGCTGAGTGAAATGGTACCCGAACTTCAGCAGGGAGGTGTTCTTTTCCAACATGTCCGCGATTTCCATTTCTACTTTGTTGCCCAAGGGCTGGCTCTTTGGAAAACAGAGGAGCAAGCCGGTCAGGTCCGAGCAGGATTGTGAGCACTTGGATCTGCCATCTCCACTCCTTCCCTCCTTCTTTGGACCTGTTGGTCCATTTGGCACTTCTGACTTGGAGCTAGCCCATTCCTGGTACAACCGAGTGGCTCCAGCTCCTCCAGCAGACATTCCCACAAGTCCTCTTCACCCAGGAATTTATTTCATGGACAGATTTGCAGCTAACAGGTGTCTGGAGACGCCAGCATTTGGAAATCTCACGTCACATATCCCTGAGTCCCACCATAAACTCAGCTGCTTCACTATTATCCCTGGGTTTCTGGGGGGAGCTGAACTTCCCATGGCATCCGTATGGCCGCACTCTGGAGCTCTCCTCCTCTTCCCTTGCACCCCAGCACAAAAATTCTCTTTCATGAGGTAAACAGTACATAAGAAGTCCCCACGAGAGCTGGGAGCAGGGGAGGGGTGCATTGCTGCTCCTCAGGGCAGCACCGAGATCACGGAAAGCTGCGTGCACGGCCACAGCCTTTGGGAATTGCTGTAGGAAGCAGCAGGAACAAGGGGCTGAAGCCTCCCCACAGCAACCTGGCAGTGCTGGTGGGCTCCCACCCCTCACCTGGACCAG